AAGAAATCTGTCATTTTCCCATTTATTACTCACATTGAAGCTGCTATGAACCTCATCTTTTATAGTCTGGATAAGAAGTGCTGCGACACCAGCATGTTTACAATCAAGTAACAAATACCTAATATTACCAATGATAAAATCAAATATTAATCAATATTTATTTATTTATTTATTTTTTTTTTACGGTAATCATATTATTTCACATACATATACTATACAAAATTACATGAATTAAATTAAATTACATGATTTGCAAATATTTATTATTAATCAATAAGACCAAGCCAACCTCAATAGGATGTATCGTCCACGCGTCTCCAACTTAGCAATAAGTTTCTGTAATAGATGTGTAGTTTTTATCCTCTRTAGTGCAAAAGGATACAAAAATTGTGTTAAATGTTGAAGTGGTTTTGATGCCAAGTATGTAGTTAAGTTTAAGTATACTKACAAGAGGTTTTGAAGTGCTGTAGACCATGATGTTTATTAGTGCCTAAGAATCAAATAAATAATTAATCAATCAATCAATCTATTACCTAATAATCGACAATAAATACATACAAAGAGCATCAAACTAAACAATGAATAAAAGCTAGTTGTTTGGCACCTTTGGAATATCAAKAAATCCTTCTAGTCTTATATAATGGTGCCCAAGAGAACCTTTATCAATGTTTTCTGTAAGTGAAGACAGCAGCGCCTGTTTTGAAACACAATAATGTTCAGAAAGTAACATGAAGGTTTTATTTTTTAAACTTTGATAAAACAATAACAATAGAATATATAAGTTGACAAAAAATAACAACAATAAGAGGGAAAACTTGTCTTAAAATTGAATTTCAAAGATATTCAGGTAGAATATTCCTTTCTAATGGCAAGACACAAATAAATATTAGTGAGCCACCTTAACTTTTAATCATACTTACTATGCCCTTTTCATTGATTTCTTCATTCGATCTAAGATAAGAAAAATAGGAAATTAGGATAAGAAACCTTTACTAATGGCAAAAGGGTAAAGAAGATAAAAGAAGCAAGAAAAAGAATGGATTAAATRGAATAATAAAAGGAAGAAAAAATGAGATGAAACAACAGATAAAATGAGATGACTGAAAAACTATGACAGACTATTGCAGTGGGTCCCCTAGTTAGTTGCCACTGTAAACACTAATACTTTGCTTAAATTTACCTTTGTAACAAACATAAAATTCCAACCAGATTTATTTTCAATAAGTAGTCCAAACTAAATAACGAAAATAACATCATTTCATGTTCTTGAAAGTATAAAACATCAACTGAGAAATTAGCAAAATTTTCATCTATTTTTTACCTGAATACTTGTGGAACATAGCAAGCTCCTTCTGCAAATGACAAATAGCTAAAGCATGCCAGACCAAGAGGTGGAAAACTTTCAGAATCTATTCAGAAAAACTAAAATAAATTGTTTTTATCAAACTCCAGTCATTCTAAAGAATGGCTTAGCATGATGTGTGTAGGTGCATCTTGATTTTTTTTGATGTGTGTGTAGCTAAAAACTGAGGCAAAAKTCCCTATTTGCTGTGCACTGTACCTTCAATCTGTTCAGACTCTTCTTCTTCATTGTGTTCATCTGGATTAGAATCTGCTCGTAGAGAGGATTCATTTCTACCCGAAGCTCTTGTACACTCCATTGTAAATTCTATAATACTCACAGCGGAGTAGTGCAGCTTGCAAAGAAGCTTCTAAAACAAAAAAATTAGCAGAAATATGAAGGTTTTTATTTTTTGAGATAGAGATGAAACGTTTAGCAGAAACCRAATCCAGAGTGTCTCTCACAGCTGTATTTGTGGTTTCATTAAAGAGGAAAAAGAGATGGAAAAAGAGATGGAAAAAAAGTCTGTGAGAGAGACTGCTGTACATATGACTTACTGCAATACAGACAGCATGGCTTTGGAATGACTTCCTTGAAAATGAAGTGTCACTTGTCTTGGAGCTCAGATTTTCAGTGACGAGAATTTCCAGTAATGAAATCAAGCTGGAAAATAGATTATGGTAAATTATGGCTGGAAATGTGAGACTGGAAATGTAACACAAGGAATGTAACACTGGTAATGTAACATTTTTTAACATCATGTACCATTTTATAAGCTCCAAAGATTGAGATTCGTTTTCAGCATTATCAAAATGATTGTCCTAAAAAATTCAAATTGATAAATAATAAATGATAGGACATGTGAAATGGATGGATGGGAAATGAATAAATGAACGGATGAATGAATGAAATCATTGAATCAATGGCATACCTTGTTTTGTGAGTCCAATCTAGTTTTATCCTTTACAATCAAGTCTATTAGACCAATCACTTTATCCAGTACGTCATATAAACCTATTCTTGARGGAGAACTATCCTCATTGCTCATTTCATCATCACTGTCTTTKAGTTCCATCACATATCTTGACAGTTTTGGTAAAATCATCTTCAAAAACTTSGACCTCCTTCCCTTCAATTTACATAAAGCTAGTAAAGCAAAAAGACTTTTTAAGTCATATTAATTATTTACAAGTTTTCTCCCCTGAAAACCCTTTCATTTCAGTTGCACTAGGGCAAGTAAAAGTCTCTATGATATGCTACCTTTCTTTAGTGGAGATAGAAGCATCAAGAAACACTGAGTTGACAAGGTAGTGTCCATTTGTTCTTCAATACCAAGACAGACTTCCTTTGGACTGCAGACCTAAGAAAAATGCAAATAATATATACATATATTTGAATCAAACAATGTCTTTGACATTAATAGAATTTGGCTTATTTATGATCTTTTYTCGCAGCTTTTATTTGAGTTATTCCCAAGTTAACATGGAGGGAAATAGGAATGAGACAAACAACAACTGTGAGAAGAGATCACCTGTTGATTTGGTATTTCATTCACTGGTAATATTTCAGCCATTCTTCACATTTTCCATTCATTTTATTCCTATTTATTTCTTCATTCATTTCATCTATTCATTCATCTTTCCATTCTTTCATTCATCCATGAGTCATCCATTCAATTACCTCTGCGATTGCGTCAAGCAAATGAATGCTGAGTTTGTCATTTGACTTCACAAGCAAACCAATGAGATCCCATCCAACAAACCTTAGAACCTCCTACAAAGTATGGAAAATTTAACAGCTTTGAAAATGTGAGATTTGGGAAATTTGAAATACAGAAAATACGCTAATGAATTATGCTTTCATTGAGCAAGATAAGTTTTTTACGACGACAATGAAGTTTCCACCGTATTTTGATTAGAGTGTGAGCTGCATTTCTTATATGCTTACTTCGTTATCAGGATTTAGAAAGAGTTCTGCCATTGCTTCCACAAAGCCGCCATCAACACAACGATGCGCGGCAACGATGACAAGGTCACTTGCACCATTATCTCGCTTCTACAAAGTTAAAAAAGCAATTCCCATATGAAAAATTTCCCAAATCTTTCCTTTCGTTTATGAAACAGCGCAAAACTACTTACAAATTCTGCAAAAGATTGATGTAAATCTTCTATGGTATGAGCACGAGCGCTGTCACCTTCCGCCATGTTTCTGTACCACAGGCAGCCCAATGTCTTTGCGGTCTCCCTGTGCCATAACCAAAGTTCATTGCGAAAGTCATCCGGATATCACATGTTTAGGTTCGTAAGCAAAATGGCGATATCGGTGAGACTTGCAGATTTGATTCTAGTTTTTGCTGTATTTCTTGCGGCATTTGTACAACCAGTGGCAGCATTTGATGGTGGAGATGTCGTTGCATTAATAATTGGACTTGTTATTGGTATTATGTGTATTTGTGCGTGTGTTGGAGCTTATGCAAGAAAGCAAGGAGGCTGACCTCAAGAAACAGACCGGAAATGTAATATTCTAAAGTTGTGCAAACTCTACAAAATACTTATCTTATACAAGAAATACGTCGTTCTGATTAAACAMAATATTATTCATCTGGTATTCGTCTTGAAAATCTTACAAATATAAAGCAATTCAGCGCTGGATTCTAAAATACAAGTGGCGTGTAAAAGGACTTTTCATTTTGACTGCTTCCTCTTCCTTTKCTGGTAAATCCTACTTTTTGGAGAAAATTGGTATTCCTTTGTACAGTTGGATAAGATGGGAACTGAGATGAAACAAACTGATGGCAGTATGTAGAGAAGAAAGGTCGAAATAGCTTGGCGCTCTATCACGTTTGATCAAGATATTTTGTTGAAGGAAACTGTGCATAAATCAGAACAGCCAGCTAAAGATCGACCTGATTTAGTTTTGTTTAGGTTTTCAAAGTTATGAATGATAGTTAAATTTAATAATAAGATAGACCAATCCCAATAAACTCATACAGTACATTATTAAGTATATATTACACAAATACAGCAGTTTTAAATGAGTTAACTCAGTTGTTCAGAAGCATTTCAAGATCTAATATCCATTCAACTTAGCAACCATTTTATTGCCATCAAGTCAGTTATCATTGTTTCATGACCTTTGACGTTTGATTTTCAGTTRTATATTATCTATATCCAAAATTCATTATGCAGTTTTTAGGTCACGTGTTGTTGTGATTGTATTGTTCCGAAAATAATTGAAAATGCTTGGACAGGCACAGTGGAAACAAATTGGTATAGATAGGGCATTGGTTGAAGAACATTAAATGATAAAGGAATATGCAGATGGMAAGTGAAGTCTAGACTCCTTTTGTATCCATTTCCTGTGTCTCCGCACTGAGTGAAATTGATGCAAATGGTAATTGATTACCATGGAGACTACTGGAAACAGATGTGAATAGTAGTTTGGTGATGGGATGTTTTTGTATAACGAATGCCCGAGATGAAATTATAGATTAAAGTTATAATAACCTTAGTTWATATCCAATTCACCAAAAACATTTACATAAATCCTTGAAAGTGTACCTGCCATAGTTTAATAAATAGTCGCATGTAGACAATAAAAGACAAAAGAGCCAAGTATAATATAATACAATATATGCTGCATTTCAAGGATTTATGAAAAACGCAATCATATATAAATTCAAGAGTTTACACAACTTTAGGAATGTAGGTAGAGTGCATTTAATAAATTTGTATCTTTTATATTGATATTTTGTCTGGTTTATTGTACAAAAATCTTCTAAAAGCTATCTTGGAAATATTTTATTCCATTATCAGAAACACCTGTTGACCCAAATTACAAAAAAGAAGTTTAATTACCTCATTAATATTAATGCTGGAGTTCAACAACTAGCTGAGCTCTCTAGTTTTTTTACCCAAATAATTCTTCAATAGGTGTTCATAAAACAACTTTGCCATAATTAGTTTTGAAAACACAGCTAATTTTACCCATATTATTTTATATTGGAAGAGACCCCCCTCCCTTCCAGGAATTCAAACTGAGAAATATGATTAAATTCTTAGGATTTTTGAAGTTTTTCGGATTACCACTGTACAAGCATCTTTGTTTAAGTTTTAATTCAATAAATTTTTACAATGACTTCTTCATATATTACAGTCTAGAAACAGGTCAGAATATTCATAACAGCATTTGAAAAGCTATATACAAGTAATCTATAATATAGCAATTTCTAAACATAGTTTGCTTTCTAATAATATAAAGTAATATGTCCAAAATAAAGACTCATTATGACTTAAAATTCTTGATTTGGTGGCAATATTTTGAATTTAGTACAGTATACATGTACAAGCTGCTTCCTCAGGCTGCCCAACAACGCCTGACTTGGTATACATGTGGTTTTTTATACATATGTGGTTTTCCTTCATCAAAGAAAGGATAGTAAGGCTTATAGTTAGACTTCACTCTCATTGTTTTCTTTGACTTTATCAAGCAGTATAAGTGACAAAGTCTTTTTCTTTTCATGGTGGGAGGAAATTCATTCTAGCATACTAACAATGCTGAATATTTCTCTTCAAGGGGCTTGGTAAGTATCGCCAATGGCTTGTCTATTGTGACTGGYAGTTTCATCTCCAAGTTTGTTCCCTTCATAGAGATTTTCTGAAAATAAAAGCGTGTCAATGGCCAACAATAATAACTAACTAAGGGGTAAAGAAAGGCACCAACTATGAAAAGTATGCTGTTGATTCATGTCATATTTCCTGAAGAGTTTTGAAACTTTCAGAAGGAAGGAAAATACCCTTCAGACAATTATTTCAAATGCCAGTTTCATTCTGGTTCATTTTCTCCTTGTCTAGGAATGATGTTTGATTTGAACTTATAAGCTAGTATAATCTTATTAGGGTTATCTCTTTCAATCAAAGGAGTGAAAATATAAAGAAAGAAAAGAGCATTGTATTTCAACAGTGAGTGTGACTGTATGAAGGCCCAGAGGACGTTATAATGCCAAAACTGGCAAGTATCAATAATTTTATTGACGAAATTGATGAATTATTGACAAAAAGAAAGCATTAATATAAAATACAAGTAAACCTACGTGCAGTGTAGTCCTTTGTTGGTTGTACAGCCACCAATACCCATCCCAGTACTGCGCCTAATACTCTCATTAGATTAATGATTCTCCATGTATCTAACAGAGTCGAAGTTTCTTCATTATCCCTGAAATAAATGTCAAAAGAGACATTAATTTTATCMAATATTTAATTGATCGTTTTCAACCATTCCCATRAGATTCAAAAGATAAAAGACYRGCRGCCGTGTTGGAGGACTGAAYAATAGATACTAATTAGAAATCCTTTGTTAAAGTTCCTCCAAGATGGCYGCTGTGACGTAACTTGAAAASGAAGAATAGATATAAATCAAGACTTCAATAAAGCTATATATATATGAAGATTGTTGGACAATACTAGACTGAATACAATACATTATAGTACAATATTTTGAAACCTACCATAATTTTTGGGGAGTTTTGTATAAGCTGATTCTATCATCGATGTTTGCTACACTGATTGAAAACACNNNNATAGGAGGGAAAGAGAAAAAGAGGGAGGGAGAAAGTCATAAAAAATTGAGAGAATCACTGAATAATGAAAGGTAACTACAACAGAGAGCTTGAGGGGAATGAAAAAGAAATGAAAAGAAGGAATGTGAAAAGAATAAAAAATGAACAAGAGGATGAACAAGAAAAGAAAGCAACAAAAAATAAGAGCAATAGAAAAGAAATGAAAGAAAGGATAATGAAAAAAAATATTGCAGGAAATATCTATACCCACCTATCAAAAACAGAGACTGTACAGATAGCAAACAGCATATAGTACAGGGACTGGACGGGTTGAGCAAGCTTGTAATAATACTCTAAAAATACTTTATTTCCTCCAGTATGTCCACTGAGCGAGTACACAAATATACACTGGCACAGTGCAAAACCTGTTTGAATGGAAAGGACAAGTTAAGCATGATCATTACAAACAAGATGTTGTTGTTGTTGTTGTTGTATTGTTTATCAATTTACATTAATATTTTGCAATGAAAGTATTGAATATCCAACTTTTCCCAAACCCACTCTTTTTGATTGCTCCATAATATTTTATTTTTATATTATATCCTTATATTCCTATGCCTTACCTGCTAATAAACCATGACAAAACAAGGCAAACGATCTAAATGCTCTGTGAACAGACTACAGAAAAATCTTTGTCAATAAAATGCATTTCTTTGACTTAAAGAGATATGACTACTATTAAGCTTAAAAAGACCTACAAGTAGCTTAAAACACTGAAAGCAGCACCACCTCCACTGCCAAAAAATAAATGCACAGCCTAGTCCCCAAGCGTTCCTCGTTTCTGTTATTGCGCTTGTCCCAGGACTCCCTAACACAGAGTAGAATGCCTGGGGACTAGTCTGCTAAATGCAAATCATATAGTTTACAATATCATTTTATTGCTAGTGTTAAAGAAACAATAATTTAAAGTATGAGTACTGGCTGTATTCATAGGACTTACTACTGCAAATTCTGCTGTTGTTTTTTCTCTGTCAACATCAATAGGTGACGCATTCCTTCTGTCTTCTTCTAGCTGGTTAATTCTGGCTTTTCTTTCACTTCTGAAKCCATGCCCATCTAAATGTACAAAGTAGATAGTGTATTGAGTTATTTGGTCTCATAATAAACATATTATTATAACTATGAAATAATGATATACCTCTGTTTTGTATAAAGAGTACATCTAATGGCTGACTGGGCAAGGTCTGTGATATGGTAGAGTTTGGAGGAGGAATGACATGATCATCTGTGACAATATCCTCTTTGTCTAACTTAAAAGTATCTACCATTGAAACTGAAATAGAAAGAAATAGAAACAAAAGATTTAATAAAGGTCCCTATAATGAGTGTTCAAAAGCTACAACATGCAATATTGAAGCTGTGATGTAGCTATGAAATCTTGTCTGAATGTTTTAAAACAATAAAATAATAGTTTTTACTTAAATATGAAAGATTAATTCCTTATACCTTCACCATCCATATCAGCATTGTAGTTCTCCTCTTCCCCAGAAGTACCATTTTGATGCCTGAAGAGCATAACACATATGAAATAAAATGTCTTAGTATCATTTGCAAAATATACAATCCTCACAAAAGGTACAGCGCTATGATAATCTTCTCAGCCAAACAATTTTTGTTTGAAATGTTGTATCCTTTGATACTAGTATTATAACTATTGTACTTGTGCATGTGCAATGTTTATCCCAGACTGCTAGGAAATAAAATTCTTTGTTTTCTGACAGTGCTTATAAGATACAAATATGAATATATAGGAATGCAACAAAGAATTCTACTCTCAAGTCAAGTCATTTAACAGTGAARTMSATTACAAGGTTTCCAGTCTGTACCTTGTCATTCTTTTRGTTTTGTGTTTTCTTGGTCTTGGTCTTTTTGGGTGTTCTGGGGGAGCTAATCCACCATCACCACCATAATCATCTARTTCATCATCYACAAAGTCTTTGGAACCTAAAATAATAACACGGTATTAGGACACAGGGACATGTAATGTGCAGAGAGCGGCTCCAGGTGTTCTGAAGCCTYCTTCATTGACAGACAAAGTCTTTGAAATATGACACTTAATTTGTCAAATTAATACCATAAACACAATGTCAGATAGTCCAACAGTTTGCTTGGTGTGAATCCAAAATAATACTTGTGCAATTTTCTAGTGAAACGCCTTTTTCATCTTCTTGAAAGCACAAAGCTGGAACCCTTCTTCAAAATAACYCTGCACATGCCCCTGAATCAAATTCTAAAACTAAAACTAACGACACTCACCATGCCCTCTTCTTCTTCTGCTTCTTCTCCTYGTTGGACTCATATTTTCACCATCAGCCATATGGTCTTCTTCTTCCATTCTGTGTAGAACCTCAGCACTAGCTGATCGTGGAGCATGTCTTGACCCCATTGGCCTTTTGTGTCTCTTTTTCTCAGGAAGGTCTAGCGTATGCATTTGCATGTCGTTACCATCATTGTATATGTCACCTGGAATAAGAAAGTATTATAAACATAATTTTAATCGTATGAGGAAGTGGTTGATCCCATTAAAGAGTGCTCAATACACATAAAGTGTAAAGCTAGTTATATATATGATATCAAGGAGGCAAGATTTTGCTGTAACTCCGAGTTTCGTGCTACGCATTAAATACTGTCTGATGAGTGCGTAGCACGAAACTCGGAGTTACAGCAAAATCTTGCCTCGTGCTACGCATTAAATACTGTCTGATGAGTGCGTAGCACGAAATTCGAAGTTACAGCAAAATCTTGCCTCCTTGATATCATATATATAAACATAATTTTATGTATTTACTGGCTTAGATCAATGGATGAACACAATCCTACGTTGACAATGCAAAGCTGTCATAAATGTGTGTCTTTTGAGTAGAGTACAGTAATGCAACTTAACCCAACATGACTAATAATTTCCATCAATCATTGATGAACATTGTAGCAAACTTCAGTTTTAAGACCAAGAAAAGGCTAATTACGTCAGTGTTTAACCAAGTTTTAAATGGTTCCGGTTTGATAAGTATGGCCAGCACACCGTTATATTACACAATGATAGGGCTGAGCAGGGAGCCTTGTGGCAAGTGAATTAAACCACATTTTTCAAACTTCCGATAAAATTTTCATAATCATTTCAAAGCCTTGCTAACATTTCTGATCCCCATCTTTACGGGCATTATTATATATTCAGTGTTTATCTTCGTTGTGCAGTTAGTGACACCAAGCATTATTGGTGAATATTGCTTTAAAGTGCCTGAGAAGATCAGAATAACAAAAGAGCAAATACGTTATTATGCTATTGTTGTCAGTCTGTCAGAGAATATAAACTTACATATAAATTTCATTCTAAACTTATCTTCAATAAAGAGGCAACGGAAATTAAAACTAAAATGTAGCATTAGTTCTTACCGTTTTCAGTTCTTGATCTTCTACGTGGTCTTCTRCCTCTTTCTCGACTTCTGGATGACCTTTCTCCACCGTGAGTGAGCCCAGAGCTTCCCTCTGCTGATCCATTGACTTTATCAACGTCTCCCATATCATGAAGAGGAATTCGCTCTGGTATTGAGCTTGGAGACTCTARGCTTTCATTATGGTCSTCAAATTCTCTGGACAATCGTTTCTTTCTCCGTCGTTGTCGTTCTCTATCTCTGCCAGTTTGTCCCGATGTCGCCAAGGGTGGAAGATGATGATCAGATTGAAGCATGTTTGGTGTCGAAAACGCTGCCGAAGGCGAGTTAAAACCCCTCGAGGGCGACAATAGTCTTTAGTTTAAATATTCGGAGTATATATTTGACACATACATCAACAATCTGACGGTTTKAGCATTTCTTTTTATCCAAACAGCGGCTCCTTGTTTATGCGTCGATTTTACAGAATTTTGTTTGAAATTATTTCCGCCCAGCTTCGCTCGGTATTTCAAATAAACAGGTAACCCAACTAGACTAGTATACTAGTATACTTGCGAGGGAATACTCAAAAAAAAAAAGGCGCAGAAAGCCACACCAAATATCTTGAGGACAAGAGTAAATGTACTTTTTAGTAACTGATTAGAAACTCGACAAATGCAGTCTCGAGAAGCTTCTTTGTTTTTACTGTTTTTAGTTCAAGATGTTTCAAATTTGGCGCCAAAAGTAACATTCAGAATTTTTTTTAGTTCCAAAAAATAAAACAGTCGAAAGCTACACGTTAAAGCAACTACTAAATAACAATAAATTTCTGAAATAAAAAGAAAAAAAGGAAAAAAACTTGCCTGCGTTGAAGAATTCTTGACCATGTGCAACTCAAAGTGGACTTGCCAAGTGCGTGCAGACCGTTGATCAAATTCGATTAACTTCATAAAATTGTGAATGAAAATTTCTCTTTCAAAGTCGGCATTCGTAATTTTAGCTGCAGCTTATTCTAAAAACCGCACACAAAAAAAAAACAACAAGAAAAGGTTGGAACAAAATTGTCGAAAGTGAGAGACGTCTCTTACTCGATCCCATCTCCATCGCTTGTCGTTACAAAGTGATGGTGCGCTTGAGGCGGGAAAACATATGAATGGTACTGAAATAGTTGCGTGCAGATTCAGCCAATCGGAGACGTGCGAAGAAATTGACTATTTTTTGAACCAATCAAATTCACAGAAACACACTTTGATTGACATGTGTACTGACATTCGGAATGCAAGCTTTGAAACGGGAAATACATGTATGTCAAAGGATTGGAAATGATGACATTTTCGATACTTTTCATGCAAGTCACTGAGTGTGGATTGTTTTCGTTCTGTTTGTTTGTTTGTTGTTGTTGTACATAGTTTGCTTGTTTGTTTTTCAGCAAAGCAAAATACTCATTTTCATTCTCCCAGCAACGTTGTAAATCATTGTCAAAGCTCAACATTCTCAGGCGCGGTTACGTATCAATAACGTATCGCATGCGATATGTACACATCTACACATTGCGTAATCAAGCCTGTTGATAACGCAGATAATTTTCCAGGTCACAATGCTGTACAAGGTTTTTCTTCTTAGCGGGGGATATAAAGGAATTGTCGTTGCTTAAAAGATATATATTGGTAAGTACAAATTGTGATTTTGTTGTTTTTTTTTATGTAAGGGTTCAATATATTGGCGTGAAACGAGATGTTTACGTGACCTAGCGAGCCCACAATTCACGGGTACATATTTTAATAAATTCGGTGTTATTTCTGTGATTTGCTCTTTTTGTCGAAGGTAGTTCTTAATGAAGGAAATAATACCAGTAAGATCACGCTATCAAAGTATATGAAAACATCATCTTTATTTCCAGGTTATTTAGAGGACATATGGAAAACGCAGCTTGCTACGATGCTACGGAAGAAACTCATCTTCTTGCGGATTCCGCGCATGGTATTACGCAAAACAATGAGTCAACAACTGAAGAAAACAAACCCTTACAAAAGAAAAATAGAGCAGGACTAATATTGCCTATTAAAAATGGTTACAGTGAAATTCTTGACAATAACAAATTGCACAACGGAAAGGAAAGCGGTACTACGCAATCTGTGTCACGTCATCCTAGAGTCGTGTCACGCATTCGTTCTGTTACTGATACCCATGGAATCGTTCGAGAAAATGTTTCACAGAATCGTCGCTGGTCAAACGCCGATCGTAGAACAAGTAACCACTTGGAACATGGATATGACGATATGTCACGCAATGAAACACACAGTAACATGTCACGCCATGAAGATGCAACAAATAATAATGCACAAGAGGTGTCACGCAACCATGATTTACCAAATAATGATGACTGTGACAGCACATCAAACCGTTTTAGAACAAACACGGATGGATCGTTTTACACCCATAGTGAAGCAGAGGAGTGTGAGGAAAGTGATTTCTCTGTCTATATGTCAACAGATACCATTGCACTTAGACAAAGACGGCACACTAATGGACTGTCTTTCAGTGGTTTGATTCGTCCTCGAAGAAGACATCATAGGAGGCAATCTAGAGCAGCAACTTGTGTGACTGACTCGTTTGTTGATGAATGTGTTTGCTGCAATTGTACAATTCTGTAACACTTTGAAATCTAGGAAGTACAGAGGAAGGGGGGAGGGGGAGGAGGCAACTAACTTGAAATGTATACCTCTTCAGCAATCCTCCTAACACTATACTGAAGGAAATCTAATCATGTTTTCAGTCCCCCTGCCATCTTAAAAGGGTTAGCATGCCCCCTACATCAGAGTAAGACAACTGGCTACCATGCAAGGACAAAATTAATATATGTGGATGATTTCATATAGGTATTGAAGATGGCATCAGCCATAAGCCTACTAGTTGTTTTGCTACGATGCATGACAGAAATATTCTCGTCWTTGTCCAAGTCCCTTGGATTTCTAACTGTTCATCCACAACATTTTAATTTTCTGAGAAGATTTTTGTTTTAAAATTCAAAATGCAAAACATTCACGTGTTTGAATGTTGGTGAGTGTACAAATAACAAATTCTTTTATTTAAAATCTTAATTTTACTAATCATCAAGAGAAAGTAATCAAAGACAATAGACACTCCTTGGTGAACTGAATCTTATTTCAGAAATACAAGAACAATCTATTTTCACTTGTTAATTCTGATATTGTACAATGATGAATTTGACACAATTCAAGGGAAGAAAGTCCAAAAATTTAACTATACACCATAAATGTCCTTTCTTCTTTTCCTTTCAATAACCCCTTGAGATATAAACATCACTATTATTCGCCACAAAATATGTTTTCTCTGCTATTTTGCATCAAATATACAATTATTAAGAATATTATCTAAATAGTCAAGGAATTATTGAAAGAACTGTGAAGCATCAACCTTGCTCCCAGACTCCTCTTTGCATTTTAGGTCAGGAGACTGAGCATGAGGTTGTGATAATATTGGGTTATGAAAGAGTAAATAAAAAATGGCTAAAAATAATATCAATATGACTTCAAAAAAGGATCTATTAGTACAACGGTTCATTTGTCATAATTCAGATACAGACAGCATTTTGTTTAATGGTGCCTTTGTCTGATAGCAAGCATCTCTTTTGCAAATAATACAAGCTAGCTGCAACTTCAAARAAATGTCTCAATGGCAACAGTCAAACACGCTTTCTCTTTAGTAAAACAAGGTGCTTAAGTTAATGWCTAGAAAAATTAAGTTTAATTTAGTTCAACTAAAAAGAAAGATTGTTAGATATGACTGTTGTCCACTGAGGTAGCTTGCTGCCTAGAGGGTACTCTTATTATTGTGGTATTCATCTAAGGGCCGTCYAAGCAATGCTAGCACCAATCAGCAGTGTAGTCAAAGTCAGTGAAGAGACCCTGAAATAAAAACACAGGAATCCTGAGTTATCAAGTTAACTGATTTATCAATCTGTCAATCATCTGATTAACCTGTCAATCAATCGTCTAATAATGTTTCTGCTTACCTGCTCTTCTATGCTTAGTAGTCTGACTTCCTTGGGAGGTGTCAAAATTGGTTCCTCTGAGGTGAACTCCTCATCAAAATTACTCACATCTTCAGGATGTTTCTAAGAGGAAACCCCAAATAAAGTATGTAAATTTATGAAACACATTTTTGATATAAATTTCTAAAAACCTCAAATGAAAAAGWCTTTCCAAGAACCAGTTTATGAAGCAATCTGCCTCCTCTAGCTGGTTTTCCTTTTTCATGAGGAGAAGAAAGGAATGATACCCAAATACTAGTAAGAAAGGGATGGAGGTCTCCCAATTTCCTTTTTTCTGTTTCTCACCCAACCACCCCTCCTCAACATTACCAATTTTGTTCTGACAAAGGAAGCCCAAAGCATGAACAGTCATAGTTGGAGAATTCATTTGTCATTATTGATAATATAATACTCACCACAGTAGGTACAAAAGGAGGTCTTACTTTCCTTGCAAGAAGATCTTCCCATCTCACATCCTACGTACAGTAAAGAAGAAGAATTAAAACACAAATCAATAGAAAAGCAAGTAGATAAAATAACATTTTCTTACCCTGAAGAAAGGCTGTTTCTTTACATCTTCGGCATCTTTTTCTGTTGCTCCAAGACGACGTTCAGGATTTCTCCTTAGCAGCTAAAAGTAAAAAAAAAGAGAGAGATTAGGATCACTAAACATTTTCACGTTTCGAAGGAAATCTATTCATACTTACTCGTCTCATAATTGCAATAGATTCTGTTGATAAAAATCTTGGATAACGAACTTCGTCATTAACAATGGAGTCAAAGACTTCTTCTTCATCATCTCCAGGGAATGGGGACTGAAAGGGAACCACAAGGAAAAGGGATGTTACTTTTGAAACACTGAAGTTTCATGGAAAATGAAAATAATATTATTCTCTAATTCTCGAATAATTTTTTTTTTTTTGATATATTTTAATAAATATTTTACAAACACCATAAATTACAGACATATTACACTTAGTTACATTAAACATTTACAATTAAGGAGAAGAACACCATAGGTGATCTCCTCTAATAATTTATCATTAAGATAATYGAGCTGTAGCTCAAATGGTAACACTAATTATGGACACAGTAATTTTTTCCAATGAAACTGCTTGCTATTTGTTAAGTCTGTCACTGSAGTCTTGCAGTTCAGGGAAACTTGACTGCATTAAAAATATATATTTACAGATGTACAACTTAAGGACTCACCTCTCCAACCAGCATCTCGAATATTAAAACCCCTAGTCCCCACCAATCTACCGCTCTTGTGTATGACGTTTCTGTTAGAACCTACAAAAATATAGTTTCTTTTTAAAAATTAACTCCAAGATACATGTATAGTTGTACAGTACAATAGAAAGAGTTTGTACAATAAAAGCAAAAAAAACTGGCAGCCTAGAGTGTATGGCAACTAATTGGAAAAATTTAATAGTTATTATTCAGTACATGATCTAACCTCTGGAGCTAAAAACTCTGGAGTMCCACAGAATGTGCCAGTGCGCTCTCCAAAACCCATTCCTTCCTTACACAGACCAAAGTCAGCAATCTTCACATAGCCCTCAGCGTCAAGGAGTAAGTTGTCTAGTTTGAGATCTCTGTASACWATCTCATGTTCATGAAGATACTGTAACCCAAGAACCACACAGGCTGTGTAGAAACTGAAAGAACAAATGGGAATTGAATGGGAGAATACTCCACTGTGCAGGTCCATGCTATCTTGAAAAGAAGTACAGCAATTGTATTGAAGGGAAGATTGAACTTGCAAGTATGATAATTATAAGAAATTTTTTCTTCACATATTTTATACTCATGTATCTCTGCTCAAAGTTGAGTTTTTGGAGATTACACAAACCTCTTGGATGCTAACATTACTGAATTTTAGGGAGAAGACGGAAGGAGAGAGAAGGTGAGCGATGGAAAGGGGTTGATGTGTTGAATTGTGTAATGATACACTGAATAGTACCCTCTTTTTTCCACATTTTTTGTCAGCCATTCCCATGTAAAAGTCCCCTCACAGTTTCAGAGATTCACTGCCATACTTACACYGTGCGTGATTCTGAGAAGACATCGGCATGAATATGCATCATGAGGTCACCACCAGGTGCATATTCCATTACAAAACATACATGTTCCTGTAAATAAAAATATCAACATTACAATACACTCTTCATTTAATAATACAGGATGTGTTAAATGAAGTACCTGTGTCTGAAAACAGGCAAATAAATTAACAAGGAAGGGATGTCTTGTCTTATTTGCTGTGAGGAAGATTCTCTTTTCTGCTAGTAAACTGTGGAATAAAATCAAAGAAGTAAATAATTAAAGTGATATAGAAATAAAGTTAAGTTAAAGTTTTGATATCATGTTCTTCAGGAAAAGTTTTAATACCTTTCAACTTCCTCTCTGGCTATAATGTCACCCTTTTTGAGCGCTTTTATTGCAAATAACTCATTGGTATTTTTGTATTCTCCTAATATAACCTGCAGAAWACAACAAYAATTGAAATTAGCACTTTTATAACGCGATTTACACCTTGAAAACAARTACWTTACCTTGCCAAAATGGCCACGGCCTAATACACTTATACATCTAAAGTTAGATATTGACATATGACTTGAATTTACAGGAGATGGTACCCTGAAACAAACAGAGAAATACTATAGTTTACATTCACATGTGGACATTAATATCATAACATAACAAGGTCTAATGATAATTAGTCTCCTTCGCATCCGTTTTTGTGTTGAGAGACAGGAAGCCCGACATGAAAATGGTGCGAGGGGGACTAAAATGATAATCAAATTCAGTTTATTATATAAAGAAATTTATAACAAATTTACCTATGGTGCCGGAYAGGAATTGGAGGCGGTGGTCTAGTTTTTATTGGATGTGCTGGGGGACTTTGTGGACTGTCCAGGAAACCAAAAGCCGATAGAGCATCCTACAAACATAAAAGACCAATAAATAACTGGACAACAAGTTTGAGAAATGGAGGTGGCAAGGTTTGAACTGTTAGCATTAGCAAAATAAATATGAGAGCAACATAATACAACAATAATAGATACAAAGTAATGTAGCAAGATTTAAAAAGGAAGCATATTAACACAGGGTTCTTGCTACTACAAAATTCCAGGACTTTGAAAGCACAAAAATATGCGATTTTCAAGGAGTATTTTTGAAGAAATTTTTTGATGTTTGCAGACATTTCAAGTGGTGATTTTMAAAAATAGCCACATTTCAATCTGAAAGCTAAAAAGCAACATGTCAATTTTATCAGATTCAAGGAGTTTTCCAGGAGTTTCAGCGATGTTCCCCATTTTCAAGGGCTTTCAAAACAAGTTTTCAATTCCAGGACTTTTCAAGGAGTAGCACGAAACCTGTTAACACGACAAAATAAGAACGATAGAAAACAAATGCATTTAAATGGAGTTTAACCTGAACTTCTCTTTCAACAGGTCGTTTAGGTGTAGTTTGAGCTTGGTGTGGTACTTGATAYGTGTTGGGTGAGGTTGCTTTAGATTGTCCTTTGGAGTGTTCTGGTGTGTAGGGTTGGGGTCTTGGTGGGGTCGCTACTGGTTCAGCATATGGCCGACTAGAAAACACAAAGTAAGATGAATATTATTTAAAAGTATTTCATTAATTTAAGCAATCACACTAGGAACAACTATCCAACCAACTTGACATCTAGAACACACTAAAATACAAATCATGCTTTGCAAATGAATATTGACTATTCTTAAAATTCCAGTACACGCAAGAAAAGCCTTGAACCTATGAGTAAATTGATTGTTTTCTATTCTAGGAACAAGGCTATTCCCTCCTGTACTGTTTTTAGAGCGGATTTCGTATGAGTGGGAAACGGACGGTACTGTACGGTGACCGTAATCGTACTGTAATCAAATTCTAGTGCCCCATTGGTTCACCAAAATTGTGCAGGCCAGGTGCGGTAACCGTGCGGTAACCGTGCGGTAACCGTGCGGTAATGGTGTCCCATTCATACGAAATCCGCTCTAATAGTCATTATACAACTTTTCAGTAAAATCAGACGTTTTGATTGGTTGGCTTTCGTGTGTTATCAAAGTGTAGATACACGGATTACGTCAAAACTAATTGTTTGTTGTATAAAACAGATAGATCTCATTTTTCCGTGTGTGTGTACTCTAATAGATACACAGATGACGTCAAAATGTAGTGAGAACAACAGTCATGCACTCGACTGCGTCTCGTGCGTACTTTTTTGTTCTCACTACATTTTGACGTCATCTGTGTATCTATTAGAGTACACACGCACGGAAAAATGAGATCTATCTGTCAAATACTACTGGAGGTTTATCATTTATCACAGGACTAAAATATACTCTCTGTTGTGCAATAAGGGAGGTGACTTTGTAATTTTAGCAACAGGTAGATACTTACTCTGTCAAAGGAGGTTGTGCATTAGGACTTAATGCAGTGTTGTTCGTAGTACAGTTCGTTGGTGCTGCTCTTTTTAATAATCTTGCCCATGTTGCTACATTTGTGTTCATTTGACCAGCCCGTAGGAAGTTCTTTCCTGAAAAACCAAAGATATACATTGTAATTTATTAAAAGAAATCATGGTTTCTACATTATCAATCAAAATTCATGAGCAGAAATTGTGATTAGTAGAACTAAATGATGCAAAAGATACAAAAAATAATAATCACACAAAACTCACACAAAACATTGACAAATTGTCCTTATACATTAGCTCAGGACTGGTTTTTACAGATACAGAAGAAAAATATACACCCTTTTATAAGTCCCAAGGTATTGTGTTCTCCTCACTTGAAGTCAAATTTATTCTTTTGAATTCTTTTTGCATTGCAAAAATTTCAAAACAATAAATTTGTCGTCAAGTGCAGAGAACACAATACCTCGGGACTTATTAAAATGGTGTATAAATTATACTTTAATAAACAACAGTCAAACACAACTTCTACAATTGTCACTGACTAGGACTGGTTCTTGAGAAAATGTAGAGAGAAAAAAAAGATCAAATAATGCTATATTAGTATTGATAAAATTGACAGCAACCTAATGGAGCTCTTAACACTTATATACACCTGTGTTTTTTGGATTTTTTTATAAAAGTTGAGACATTAAAATACTGTGTGGTACTTCAGTGACAATGTTATCATAAGAATATCACAACAAAATTTGCTAAACAGACATCATTTTCTCTTATTGTAGGAGCAAACCTTTATGTATGTTGAAAAGCTTCTTTTGTCGTTGTAACTTGGGTTTTCTGGTCACCATTGGGTTCAGGAAAGTCACCTGGTTTACACATTTGAAAGGAAACAAGAACATTATGAAATGGTTTCATTCTAAGGACTTTTAAGGGCCAAAATTATGAATAGAGGATGGGCCCTTCATTGTAGTACAAGATAGCTTGGTTCAACAAAGGAATAAGGAGATAGACTAGGTCCAAGTTGATTAAATATTAATACCATTTTATCAACAGGTGGAGAGTGAAAAACTAGAACTTTTAGACACAAATAATTGTTTGTTTAGAGCTTTGAGAGGGTATTTCTACTAAGAAAATAATTTCTTTTAATTTGTAACTGTGTTATAATGTAAAAAAAATAATATCAAGACAATGTAACGCCTTTGGCTTTTGTGATAAAACGTTGAAATATCATTAAATTTTGATCAAAGGTTGAGAAGTCTAGCTGAAGTTTCTAGCTCTATTTCCTCTACAAATTATTATTATCCCTATTTTTTAATAAAATCCAGTCTTTAAATCACAAGGAAGATTTTTGTCTCCAGTTTAATGAATGTGTTAACTCTGAGATTAAAAACAGGATGTGTACAATTTTTAAAGAAATTGAGTTAAATGTTCTTTCCAGACAAAATATAACAATCAATCATTTACGGTGAATTACTTAAAATCACAGGAATGAAAACAAAATATATTAGAATTTTGACGAAAATATAGAATTAATCACTGTACCAAAATCATAAAATGAAGGATTTCAATTGCATAATGAAAATTATTAATAAAATTATATTAAATAGCCGACTTTAGATATTTTGGTTCAGTGACCATGCACAAAAGAATTGCAGACGAGGTTCCGGGAAAATAGAAGAATAAATCAAGATTATCCATTGTTTTCCCGGAGCCTCATACGCGTTCTTTTGTTCATAGTCATTGAACCAAAATATCTAAAGTTGACTATTAATACCAAAATCGTATTATTGAAAAAAATTGCATATTTCAATTTTACATTCCACTTATTCCACTTACATATTTTAAGTATTCATTAGGAGTTATTCAACACTTATATTTTGTTTTTCTATTTTTGCTTACAAAATATATATGACAGATCTAATTCTTAAATATTGCATCACGATTGATTGTATGCAGTAAGGGCATATTGTTTATGCTTTTTCCCTTGTTTATTAGATATTAACCATCCTAAGAGCAATTAATTAACTCTAGACCCCCTCATGAAGCCCCCTGGATAGCTAAGAGATATCTATCATTATCAACAGGAAGAAGCCTGCAGAGTTATAGTAAAAAAACATTATAAATCATGATGAAAAAAAAAGAAGAACAAAAGCCAAGACTTTAAGAATGAGTATTAAGCCAAATTAATTGTTTCTAATGATGGGACTTTAAGAAAATACCTGGAAACATTGATTTTTCATCTATTTGAAGAGCTAGAGCTATATTTAAGCTTTAATGGTTCACTTTTTTACATATATTATTCAAAAATAATCAATAGCAAACAAATTTTGCAAACCAAAACAAAAATTTAACCACATTTCAATATACCGGTAGTGAACAAAACAATTTAGTGAAGCAGAAACCATTACGTACAGGGAAAGAAAATATTCAGCATAATTAATTTATATGATATAACACAAGTAAAAAGAGATAAGAACATGATTGTTATCACTAAAGAACATTTTAATTAAACTTGGTGTTAATCCTATTCTATTCTACTTCTGTACTGTATAGAAAGACACAAAATGATGAAAAATTCAACTGTAATGTATTAAATAATGTCATATATCAAAAAAAGTGAAAATGTTAGAAATTTTGGACTCTTCTTACAGTGTTTAATTTACCCTTTTAATGCAAATGCTATATTACAAAAACAGTGACACACTTGCAGCTAAAGTTATCATTTTAAAAATAAAACCAAGCCTTGGGCTTTGCAATTAGTATCCGAAAGAGACCGTCACATTACACCCCCTTAGAAAATGTAAAGATTTTGACAGCTTCTAATGAAACTCTATGAAAACCATTGCTGTTTCTCTTTTCATTTCCCTCTCTCTGTCAATAAAGGTTGAACTAATATTATCAAAGCCTACAGGTGAACTTTCAGCAAGCAAACCCAATATCTTGGTGAATGCACTTAATCTTTGAATGTCAGACAAGATCAGACCAACAGCAATAAAGTGTGTTTCTAATGTTTCCATTATTTCAATCGGAACCTACAATCAAATGCAATGGCAAAGATTTGTTGCTTAATATGTTTCAATCTGGAACGGACGATCAAATCAGTACAAATAAGGCAAATGCTACGCATGTTTCAATTTTCATTTGGAATGAATGATCAGAATGGGAAAATGTTTTAAGAGGGGATATATGAATTTGAGTTGAGTATGGTTGAGGTTTTAAAATGAATAAAAAGAGCAAAATTCCTACAGGACGCACACCTTAATAAAGTATTGTTTAGATTAAAAATTGATAACTATGAGCAATAAGGTAAATTTTGACATGGAAGGAAATTAAGAAAGGTAATCATAAGACAGAGTTTATATTTGATTTTGTTGTATGCCATGAAAAAAAATCAATGTTCGTTGAAATTTAAAAACTCTCCCTTCTACAAACATTACTCAACTGATATTTTTTTCAGAAATTATGCAGTAATACCATACAAGTGATAAAAAATTAATAGAAGAGAAACAGCAGTTAGAGCAATAATCAAATAAATGTGAATTTTGTTCTTATAAGTGTCATTTTGCAACTTGTTACATTTAATCAGAGAGCAAGAAAGAACATTTTATATTACATTTTCATTATTTTATACTTAAAAATATAAAAAAGGTGTTTTTTTAATGATATCTACAGACAATTTAGGCATCTTTCTTATTCAATTTTAATACTTTATTGCTTTCGATCATCTGCTACTGAGAATTTATCATATTAAAGCAAAATTAAAATCATAAAATCCAAAACTCTTTAAATCCTAAGTATTCAGATAATCAATTTTTTGTGATAATTATCGCCTTCGTCAGGTTAGAAAATATCTAAACTACTGTAGCGAAATATCCAAGTCTCTTCAAATGGATAGCAATCGGAAATACAATCTAAAAGGGTAGTGTGATACTTAATAATGTAGACGTAAACAGATTGTCGGCACTTCAAACATCAATACTTTTACAAATGGTGAGCATGATATTAATTATCGGACTCAAGTGTAGGTTGTATTGCCACATAATGGTTACAGTTGCTTTTTTATATATCCCTTTAATTGGTTTCTTTTTATCTTTGCTGATAAAACTACTGGTTTAGGATCGAATTACAACATGCTGAATATATCTAGCTACTTGGTATTATAAATACTCTTCAAATTTGCATTTTGACATTATACCTTACTTCAGGAATGTTGACATAGAAAAAAAAATTTTTGGTTTTTATTTTTGGAAATGTCAAAATGTTATAAAAAAATATAACACAACTTGAAATGATGAAATAGTCTATAATTATAATAGTGAACAAACTAGTGTAGTTTTTGATTAATTTTTATATTTTTAAAATTGGTTTCAATTGGCATAAACATAAAAAAGTCAAAATGGTTCATGTATGAAAACGCTATTATTATGAGACTAATATTTTCAAAAACAACATTATCAAAAAATGTATAAAATAAGTACAAAATCAAAACACTGCTGTCAGAAACTTTAATTTTCAACTTTTGGCAATTCATTCCAAAATTGCCTTTCAGTTCAGATCAGAAAAAAATTCTCATATCTTTATGTTATATACAAAAGAAATTCTTATGTTATAAAAAAAAAACAAAATGATATTGAGTATGATAAGGTGAGAGTCAAAGCAGAAGGTTTTGAACAATAATCCTCCAACAATTGTTTCAAGTGAAATTTCAACTTAAATACTATCTATATTTTATTTTTTGATAATTTTGTTTTTTGAAAATATTAGTCTCGTAATAATAGTGTTTTCATACATGAACCATTTTGACTTTTTTATGTTTATGCCAATTGAAACCAATTTTAAAGATATAAAAATTAATCAAAACTACACTAGTTTGTCCACTATTATAATTATAGACTATTTCATCATTTCAAGTTGTGTTATATTTTTTTATAACATTTTGACATTTCCAAAAATAAAAGCCAAAYACTTTTTTTWAAAAATATCACCTGGTACCTTCTCATAWAGATCATAGGATATCCTTCTAATCTTCCATACCATAACACGACATCTCTTCAACTTWGGCACAATAATCTCCTTGTCTGTCCTTTTAGTCCGAACACAAAATTTATCCCCAAAGACAGAGAAAGTCTTCATCCTTTCAGTTGGAAACAAATTCCTGCTATCAACTTCATCTTTAATAYTAACTTTTATCTTCTGCTCTTGTTTGTATTTTGCATTTTTAGCTGAAGTTCTTTGCAGTGGTATACCTTTGGAAGCATTCACRGGCTTYCTTCGTCGTTTTACGTAGATATTTCTCTGTGGAAGTCGTCTAGCTTTTCTGTGTTTGGTTTGTCGGTARCTTCGTTCACTTTCGCTGCTGCTGAGAATGATAGCACTGCGAGGTCTAGCTGGTCTCTGATCCCTAGAATCAGAWCCTTTYCKWAGAAATATCCTAGTATTCTCTTGATTATCTTTACCAGTTCTTGACTCTAATAAAGTTATACTTTTAGGCCTGTCTTTCACTACACCACTCTTCTTGCTTGATTTAGGTGATAAAGGAGWCAGCTTATCCCTGTGTTCAACAGACGAGTGGCTGCGAGCATTATCCTCAATGATTTTATGTAAAGGATTTAATGCACCTTTGGCAGACTTACTTAACTGCTGTCTGGGAGAATCTAAATCAGAGCTTTTTGGTCTTGGAGATCTTTCTGTTTGAGTTCTTGATCTACGTCGTTCAGCATTCTCRATTAAGTAGCTTCTAGGTCTTGTCTTTGGATTAGACTTTCTTTCATCAACAGAGTCAACACTGTGACTCATTTGAGTGGTACTTTTTAAGGAGTTAATTGGTAATTGCTTAGATATGCCATCCATTGAACTAGCTCTTCTATTATCATAAGAAAGCAGCCTTACTCTAGACAGACGCAGTGAGTCAGGAGATGAATTTCTATTTGGAGTCTTATTATCAAGTACTTCACTTGAAGTTCTACTTCCAGTTTTTACTTTAACACAGTTTTTATCAAATTTTTCACCAGGACTTGCGTAGACACTAGAAACTCTATTTGAGGATTTATTATCTCTTGATGATGGCGGTGAGCATGTGGGTGAAATATTTAATTTCTCATTTGAAGATTTTCCTTTAGAAGAAGATGATAGCCCTTCAGTTTTAGATAAAGGGGAATAAACAGTTTCTTTGGGAACATACCTTCCTGTTCGAAAAGGAGGGAACTTTTTGGAAGAATCAGGTTTCTCAAATGATGTACTAAAACGATTTCCTTTTAAACAGCTGGTGTCTTTCTTTGACATTTCTTTCTTTGCAGGAGTTATACATTTAGAAGTCTCCCCTGTTTCTAGCACCTTACTATTTGCTGTCATTCCACTTTTCTTGACACTGTGCCCAYGTTCATGGACTTGAGGACTTGGGCCAGTCTCACAGCTAGCCATTCTTGGCCAATTGTCAAGGAATGAAAATAATTAAAGTATTTTTGGGTTGTGTTTGAATTATTTCCTTAAAATCCTGCATATCTTAACCCATRTTAGTTAAATTGAGTTGCCTTGACCACAGAATTACAATAATCTTTGATCACCTTTCCAAGAGGGATTTAAACATCTTTATAACCAACYTRGYATCTGTAAGGTTTTGGGATTCAAAGCTTTGTGTAACCCTGAATAGACACACTGWAGTTATTCCTTGGAATTCCAATCAATACTTATGCAAATCCAGTACAATGATTACAAGAAAATAATAGGAATTCCCCCTATGCGTTCTTCACATCCCAAGGAAACAGATCCAAATCTTGATATAATAAACTTATAGCAGTTCTAACCAAAGCCGTAGGTCTGTCAAAAAGACCTGTGTCTATGAATAACCATGGCTCAATTGAAGAGAAGTCTTTCTTCATTGTAAATCAGCCATTGTAATAGAAGACAGAATATTAAATGAGATCTAGACCATAAGATCTCAAGACCAACCAGTAGTATTCRGGCTTTGTGAGTGTTTAGGCAAACGAATCAACCACTCATCTTTTGAGCCCTGACCACCTGCCAATCACCTGTTTTTTGACACCTCCTATTGGCTCAKAGACAATAAGGCTGCWAAAATCCATTCAAATGCACACCTGTTTTTAGTCTAGTATGTAAATTAGTGCTGTAGGAGATTTGTCAGCACTTTTTTGAATGAAGACTTGTTTGAAGTTCGGTACTTCTATCACGATTTTATGTAAACAAAATTTGTATACTATTGTGTATAGAAAACTGTAAAGTTTTGTGTCAATCTTTAAAGAAAACAATATTACAAAAATACTCAGACTTGTGAATAATACAATCCCCTAAAGTCTAAAGAAAAGTGAAAAGTTAGAAATTATATTCAAAAAGGTTATGTTAGTTTTYATTTGTAAAGGATTGAACTTGAGTAGAATACTGTATATTTTTGTTTAAAACAAAAACTAAATTTCTAAAATCTTTAATAAAAAAACCAGTCATGTTTTCAATAAAAAACAACAGAAAACATTGAGAAATTAAACAAACAGAAGCAAATCTTGATTTGTACATTTACATCATTGAACAAAACATTATAATTTTGATTCCCAAAGGCATRAAATACCATGATGGTGTTTTGATGTAAATATTTCAATATAACCAATGTTTACAGTMGAGGATTAACGCTATTTCATCTATTATTAGTAGCTGTTGTCTATTTATGGTAAGGTCTGCCAGCTATGACTAATGCTTGTTAAAATCAATGAGCCATAAATAATACAATATAACACCATTCATATACTGTTTTACAATATAAATGCTCTTCATAAAAAAGGTGAGTATTGAAGATTTTTCTCAAAAAATCTAATGCCTTTTTTCAAAACAAAATAACAGCTTTGGAAAAATGAAAAACTTGTAATATTATGATAAAATCATAATTCTACTATTTTGTATAAAATCCCTTCTTTAAAGATTAAGAAAAAGAAAAAAAAAGGATTACATAATTTGTAGTTGAAATTCACACTCTACTGTGAAAAGTATATTTCTTACTTATTATCAAATAATCATAATTAATTATTTATGACATTTTACTCGTAAAAAAAATGTGCAGTATATCCTTTCAGGAAATACTTTTTCTCAAATTCTTGTCATTCTATATTTGTTTATCTAAATTAATTTTTGTAAAAATCAAAATCTTTCAGAGGACATGACCATTCAGAAAAGAGGAGTAGGAGGAAAAAATGGGAATGAAAAACTGAAAAACTGTCCCATTTTACTTCGTACCCTAAATCAACCCCTGATATTATCCTGGTGTCCCACTCACCTCAGCGAAGAGTGTCCCTTGAGGTTCCAACTGCACGTTCTTCTTGTGTTCTTGGTTATCGAGAAATTCTTCAAGTCTCAGAAAAGCTACACCACAAAGCGATCGATGGTCTCTCCAATGAACTCCAACTTCTAATTCTCTCGACTAATAAAAACATTTAAAATCGTTAGAAAATACAATGCAAAAAAAAATGAAAGTGTTCAAGGGCACTGAAGAGATAACTTGTGAATGTGATGTGTYCGACACTGGAGAAAAATGCACTGCGCATGCCCACAGCTTTCCCRCCAGTGGGCGCTCGCGTCTTGATACCTGTAAACAGAGCACCTGGCGATTTACAGCAACAACACAGAAAACACTACGAAAAACCTCATTTTCTCAAAATGACAAGATAAAAATAGAAACTACATACTAAAAGGACCTAGTATTATGAACAATGATTGATGGAAATATGAATCTTATATATCGGTGAACGAGCTTATAAATTGTAAAAAACTTTGACAAAAATCGCTTTACAAAGGAAATTAGGCAGATTTCAGCGGGAAAGCTGTGGACATGCGTATTGCGTTTTTCACCAGTGTTGATGTGTCCATTTACAAGAGATTCAACTATATATTTTTTTAATGAATGCACTGAATGTACCTTGTCTAAATCAATGGTAAACTGCTCTTGCCAGCACTGGGTTCCTATTGTATTCCAATGAGTTTGACCAACATGAGTGTTGTCTAATTTTAAGATGGCGCAAGATTCATCTACAACACACAAAACATAAAATCAATTCAAATCAATTCTTGGGTTGCAACCACATGATCAAAAATCCCTTGAGAAATAAATAACAAAGCTATCGCTGCCATGGTGAATGACTAAACAAGCGAAACTAATGAGGAATGCTTTGTTATCGTCATCCAACATGGCGACAATGACATAAGTGCAACCTGAGAATAAATTAATAACAAAATAATAAATCAATTATATATAGATTACACTTCTTGCAGTTCATGCCAATACAGCTTCATCTTGAAGGACAAAACATACATTGAATTCGTTTTAATTCTCAAGAGATCAAATGTTTTGTTGTCCCTGCAGATGAAGTTGCATTAAACACAAACACAAACACATACACAAACACAATCACATACAAGTGATATAAAGATCGGAGATCCAAGGGTTATCACAGTGAGTGCCAAATTTCCTTCGTTCAGTGACAATTTTCAATATAAAATGAACACGAATGAAATGACTTATTGCGTTGGTGCGTGTAACCAATCAGGATCTCTTACTTGTCAAATTATCTTCGATATTCCATTTGTTATACCCACTTTTCCGTTTACTTGATCCAGGKCGAGAATCCAACTTCCCTTCTGGGCTAATCATGGCTAAGCTTGTTGTTTTTCTTGGGTCTCTATTGGGCACTACTGATAATAGATTTTGCGCTCCAATTATATTCACCTAGAAGGAAAGTTTATCATTAATCAGTAMRTGTCTTGGACCTGACTAGGATGTCARTTYCTGCTCAAAAACYCAAGTGARCTAGAKGAATAYGAGYTCTCTTGTTAAGGGTGTGTTTAGACATTTATTACTGGGMGACTTTTCAATGGTCAATCTTTATATGTCTGTGYTGCTGGATAATGCATGTTTATAGATCAATACTTTTTGGTTGCTAAGGATAAAGTGGATGTGGTTGCTAAGGCTAAATCATATGCGGTTGCTTAGAATGAATATGATAAGTTGCTGAGTTAATTGACGATAACAAYAGTGATGATAMTAATGGTAATGATGATGATAATTTTTTATTATTCACTACTTTCCATACTCAGGTTTAGTWAMCACAAGCAAAGTGTTGAGCCGAGGTTTCAAGGTACAGCAAGCACAAAAGAAAAGATCTGTGCAAAGTGAACTTTGATACCTTGGTTCAATGCTTTGAGTCATGAGCACTGCTCGAACCTTGGAATGGAAAGTTGTGAACCATCATCATCATCATCATTACCATCATCATCAAGATTATAATCCTAATAATTATGACTTACGATAAGTTGTCCTGTCAAYGCAGCAGGTTTTGTGATAGCTGAATACTGCTGTCTCCCAATTCCCACAGCTTTACGGTCAGCATACGACGGCGGCGTTTTAAATCCCACATCAATAAAAATTCCTATCTCATTTTGTCCTGGAGTTACCTCAGGAATTAGCTTTTCTAGTGCACATTGTAGAAGGTCTAGTTTTTGACTTGATTCTTGYAATCTTCTCTTGGCCTTAAAGGAAAGATAAACAGAAATTAGAATGGTGTGCACAAATACAGCCTTGTTGCATGTTAGAATGAACTTTTCTTCAAAATGCATTGAGAACTAGGAGAAAGAAATAAAAAACATTCAGAAAAGCCTACCTCTTGTAGTTCCTTTTTCTCTTGTCCKGCTTTTTGTAGAAATCTGACCATATTATTTGCCCCATCAATAACCCTGGACTCAATGTCTATATGRTGCCGAACTTCCTCTACTCTTAATTCAAGAGGTGAGAGTCCAACACTTGTATTGTTTTGTTTTCTAGCGCCGCTGTTATTCCTTGATGGATCCTCAACAGGAGCCGATGCCGCAGCCTGTTGCTCTCTGAGAATAGCCATGCGAATGATTTCCATTTTAGTTTTAGAGTCCTCAAGCATTTGTTGTGCCTCAGCAATTAACTTTGACTTATCCTTGGTTTTTAGGTTTGCATACATGGCAAGCATGTTTTCAGCTCCTTGTTTGACTTTGTTTTCTACRGCAAGTTGCTTTTTAAGGGAGTCTAGTTTACTGTTTCCGCTTGTATCRTCATTGTGGCTGCCRTTGGTYCTTTCAGGRGAATGTCCATCTTCAAGATCAACTGGAAGATGAAGAGGAATTGTTTATTATTTTAATAACTTGTAAGCAGTTAATGAGGAGAAAGTTAAAAGTTTGGAGTGGGGAGAATTTGGTAGCAAAAATAGGAGCACATACATGTACAGCACTTGCTTAAACCTCTTATAGTTAGTCAGTTAATAATGTCAGTCAAATAAATTAATAAATCAGTTAGTCAACTACTATATCATCCCTTTACATGAACCATATGAAGTAACCAATCTCAAGAAGCCAATCTTGTCATATCAAATATACAAACACTCAATATTATCAAACAATCAAAACCAATCAATTTAAATAACCCAATCAATCAGCCAAATGATTGTATTGAATACGCTATCAGTCAATAGTATGAATCAATCAGTCAATCAATCACCAAATMAGCTGTCAATTAAATATTTGCAATGCAAATTATTTTAATCATTTTGTAATGAATTCAACAAATATGAGATTTTATTAGACCTGTGCAAAAAATAAGAACAAATTTAGTAATTTACAGACAATGTCCTTGAATAATGCCAGTAAGCATGTTGAAATCTTGATGTGAATAATTTTTTTTAAGCTAAATGATGGTTTTAGTGGTAAAATTGGAGCTACACCATACAAAATCTCCACCTTCTCATCTGCCGTTATTTTTCATCCTGAAGTTTACAAATAAAATCATCCAAGAACCACCATTTAGCAAAAATTGTAAAAAATAATTAAAAATGCAAATGAGAAGTCAACTTTTCCAAAAATTTAAGTTTTATTAGTTGAAGCAAATGGGAAAACAATTTAAAATAATTGAAATTGCTTGGAGAAATTTGGCTGTCATTGGTATGTGACAAAAACAGAATTAACAAGGACGACGTAGCACAATGTATTTCATTAAGCACTTAATGTTCGCCAAAGAAGCTTAAGGAAAATACTACAGATCATATTACACAAGCTCTAAATGCTGTATATTAAACACAGAGAAATATATAAAAAATGTAGAAATTAAACAGCCACCTGGTAAGATAAATTCAAGTCAAATATTACTTTGAGGTTGAATGATAAAAATAATGAAACATTTTATGCAARAAAGAGAATTCATAATTACAGTTATGACTTTGAGATGACCACACAGCAAGAAAACATTATTATGAATGAAATTAAAAATAGTAAAAAAACTGCTGATAAAATAAACATATATTTTATAAGTTAGTGTTCTGCTGTGAAATCTGACCAGGATAGACTATCTTTTTTATTTGATACTTGATAATTAAATCCAAAATGTTTTCCTGCAGWGGSWAAATCATTAAATTGTGCATTCATTAGAATTTTCTCTTAGCAACAGGTCTAACCCCCATGATTATTTTTCATCATCACAAAATAATTAACAAAGCTATAAGACTTTTAAACATAAACACAGACTGACATTTTATTTCCAAATACGGTATACATAAAAGGTTGAGACCATGTTTTATGCTATAAAATTGAAATACACTTAATAACTCTTGTTGATTTTTGTCCAAGTTAATAAAATCTATATTTGTTCATTTTTTAGCATAACTCATCATCTTGCATAGTTTTCCCATGAGTAAAGTTAATTGTGTATTTTGCTAGAGAGTATACAATGCATTGTCAAGGTCCTTTTTTAACTGTGAAATCTCTTAGTCAATTACTTCAAGCACTCAAGGTATTGAAAAGAGTTTCTGCCATGATAGTAATGATTATTATTATAGTGCCTATTAGGTGTTATCACAATAGGGTTCAAAAAGCAATAAAAGAAGGCAATTTTCTCAAGTAGACACTAAAACTTTTGAGACCATGATTAGAAACTGAAGTCCAAGGACTCCATCATCCATCATAACTAATTTCCCTGCCTTATTATTGATTGTTGAGTAATTAAATTRCACTCAAAGTATAATATCGAAGGATTTAAAAACATGACAGAAAAACACAGTTTGTTTAAAATAAGCACTGAAAAATGTACATAGATCGTTTGCAATGTGGAAAGAACACAATGCAAAACGCCAACTGGATAATCCTAACGAACAATAAATGTACAAGTAAGCCTGCTCTTTGCATGACGTTTGCTAATCTTGTCGTGTATCTTTGATATTCAAAACGACAAGTCTCGAACTTAACAATGCGTGTGAAAGATACTTTACAAAAGGGTTTTGCTCTATCAACATGATTATAAAATAGTTTTGGTGAGTTTGAAAGAATGTGAGAGTGAAACAACAAACAAATTCACGTGCAATTGTCGTGATTTCAGCTTGCTATTGAGGTGGAATACCTTGTAATAAATGCCCCTATGGAACATCTGTATAGCTGGCTAAWAAGGCGTTATAACAGACCTGAATCAACCTACAATAACCACTAATTTGACCAGAGTGTTTGACACTTTTTGAGAGGTGCTTGCGGGCATGCGAATTGAAAGAAAATCACAACATTTTTCAAACAGCAATAACAGAAATGCAGAGGGAAAAACAYTATGAGTTYACCAGCTTCCTCTGAACAAATATTAAAAGATTTGTGGCAGTAAATTGAGTGATTATAGTGGGAAAACAGTACAAAATAATACAGTTGAAATAGAGAGCTTTGTGGATTCAAAATGGCTGTAAAAAGAAAATGTTGTCATCAATTTGACAACATAAAATAACATATTTTAACTTTCAGTATTTACTTAAGATTTAGCAAGTAGTTTTTGAAGATACTTACAAATAGGGTCATCGTTAACTCTGGCATTTAAATCCTGCAATTCTTGATGTAAATCTTGCAGTTTTGCACTCGATTCTTTCAGGATTTGGTTGCATTTTGCCAAAGATTTTTTATCTGTGGCAACCTTCTTCAAATTCTCAGCCCCTTCCTTTAGTTTGAGCTGTTTCCGTATCTCTGACTTTAATATTTCTTTGGAGTGTTCTAAGTCTGTCCTTATRAGAGATTCCGATCCACATCGCTCTAGCTGTTTCTGTTCTTCAGTTCTGCTAGCACGGCGGCCTCGGCCAACATCCGGCAGCTAGAAAAGAACAAGAACAACGACGTTACACCAACAATACACAACTATAAGGTTGAAAATTTCACTCAAATTCAGTCCACATTTCACTAACTCACCATCACGCTTCCGGTTGGGTACATTTTATTCCAGATATATGGAATAGAAGCCGTGAAAACCAGAACAGTCGTTCACAAAGTGGTAGTTGACATCGACCATGACCACTGAAATGGTCTGTGAAAGTCTTACTCCACAAACTCAAATACCTAAGTAAACACCGAAAGTTCTCGCTTAGAAACCGTTTGATGCTGTTCTAATTCTACTTGGAGACGAAGCAGAAAACCAGTGGTTTCTCTGAAGCTTCTTTAGGGTCGCTACCCAACTAGAATGGTTTTATTTTTGACCAAATGTTCAAAATGTCCGGGACAAAATTCTGCAAGTTTTACAGTTCGAGGGTAACAACCGAAGAAGGTAAGGTGTGCAAAGGACGTTGGGAAGGATAAATCACGTGATTCTACTGGAATTTGTGACGTGACCTTCATTTGCGTGACATAATATTATATGTTTCYATCAGCTTCTCGTTGATTTCATGTTTTAGGGCAAAGAGATCACGAAAATCCTAATAATTGTTTGCTAGAATATGTCAGATAGTGTTACGATCCTGATATAATCTAATGAAAGTCGATCCTTCTTCACTAKATTGTCACGCATTCCTTGTCATGAAAAATAACCAGACAGTTTTGCGAGTTTGGCGCTGTGCTGTTTGCAAATCCGAGTCATTTAGAATCGAGGTTTTGTATTTTGYATTAGCTTGAATGAAAAACGCATTTTATTATCCAGCTTTTATCATTAGCATTTCTAGCTRTCGGAAATAGTTGAGTTTTGACGTCAACTTCGCTAAACACGTAACTTGTTACYCTTGTTGTGGGCGACCACGTAAACGAGCTTACTCATCGATTTAAAAAGATGTGTGGACGAACGGCATGGTAGGTTTCAGTATATWATTTTCCACATTCCTTYCCTCTCAAGGAACTATTTGACAGTTCRCCTCTTTGTTTGGAAGGAMAAATCGTGCGAAGCGCGCGGTTTGGAGTGAGGAGAATTATGGCGCCAAATACCACATGTGATCATAYTTCTMGCTTTTCGTACACAGCAACCTCGACCCAGACGGTGTTGCAAAGTGTTGCCGATTTAGAAGCAGTAAAAATGGCAAMATGCAAACTCCGAGATGGAAMAATAACTSCAGTGGAAATTACAGACCTTCTTGCAACGTTGCTCCACASTCTCATACGTAAGAAATATGTTAAAAATGTCATATTTCTCTTCTGTGCATAACCCCCCCTGCCCCCCGCCCCCAACTGTGTTGAAGGAGGAGGTGCTAATTATGTCACCTTTTAATATAGGGAGGGTGCTGTGTGGGTGTGTTTCATTGAATTTTGGGAGGATGGGCAGGGTGTATGGGGTGGAATGGGGGGAGGGGTAAGGATAAGGATTGCATATAATTCAACTCATATCTCTTTTTCCGTCATATTTAGACCAGTGTTGATTTCAAGTAAACATTTGCAAAAACAACTCAACAGTGAACAGCACCAGGACRATGATGGAGAAGTTGAGAGGACACTTCAGGCCATGCGATGGGGACTTATTCCATCATGGTACAAGGGAGATCCCAAAGATTTCAGTCTGAGTACAAATAATGCTCGCTTTGATTCACTCATGGACAAGGCTTCCTACAAGAACCCCATTATACAAGGAAAGAGATGTTACGTTCTAATTCACTTCGTTCAAACGAACGTAAATTAATTTGCTCTTTATACTCCCTGTAACAGACATAAAACTACAACAGTATAGGATGGATACTCTAGCAGAGTAGCATGAGTTTACTGAATAATTCTTTACATTGGTTATGTCACAATAAATAGACGCATAATAAAACTGAGTAAATTAATCTAATCAATGAAGTATTAATTTTCAAATTATATGAATAATGGCCATAATAATCATAGGCCCAAACTATTAGTTACTTGTAATCTTCTCTTAATATCTTCGTGAACATACATATCCTTGGCAATATCGGTTTTCCACCTTCCATGTAACTTTAACAGTCTTTCAGATATAGTACTGTTGGTGGTGTTAGACTTAGGGATAAATATAGACATATGGCTATCACAGAATTTTTAAACGTTTACCAAGAACGTTAGAGAATTCATCATATCTCAGGAAACCCGCGAAAGCTAAGGTGCACATAGTAGCTATTCGTAAATCTTTAAGACTACAATTTTCGTTGGCGTGTTTGTCTATGATTTTCTTAATCATATCGTTGGTAACTGGATTCTTTTTGGGTATAGGTTTTCCTTTATCCCTTTTAGCTGCTTCCACAATATTTCTACACAATTCGCTGTCTAGGGGATTGGTACTTGGTATGAAACTATGTAACCATTTCAGTGCTGAAAAAGTTAATACAACTGATTGACTACATTTAACTCGTTTTGCCACATGTCCTATGTAGATTGCTGTTATAGAACTTTCGTAAGGTAGTCTTGTTTGAATCCTATTGGTTCTGCACCATTCAAAGAACTTCTTTATTTCAGCGAGGTATCTCTTTGTAGTAGAAGTTGCCCGAGAACGTAAGATCTGTTCCAACACTTGTCTTCTACACTCCTTTAAAGCTGGTGGCACATTTTTCCAATGCACACACTTCTCTACAATCTGAAAATGAATGAAATTGAAGAACATATAAAATTAATAACACTGACTTATCAGGACGAGCCAGCGCCCTTTAAATTGTCTTGGGCCAGTGCCCTTCGTATTGTAGCGGGCCAGTGCCTCAATCTACTTGCATTCCATTTCATTTGACCAGGCCAGTGCCTGTAGCATAATTCATTGGGCCAGTGCCTTCACGAAAATCCATTCTCACAGCTAATAACATTCCCTTAAATCTCTTCGATCCTAAAAGCGAGTTGCTGTTACGTCCATGTTTCAATCCATCTCCCTCATAAACTCTATAATCAAATAGATTCTGTGTACACTTTCTTGTCAACAATGGCCAAAAACTGGACGATGGCCAAAAAGGGACTATAAGCGTGCCTATTGCCTTTTGCAGCTCC